GAAGCTAAGAAGGACAGGTTGGGCAAAATGTACAGCATTATCGAATACCCCGACGAAATGAATTTTGAAACTACATATTTCCATGATACCGCCAAAATATTTAAGAAGATGGACAATTGGATAAGCAAAATATATGAGAGCAGAAGCAATAGAGCTTTACTAGCAGTTCAATCTCCTTATACAACGAAAGTCTTGAATCTTCTTAAATCAACATCGAGCTTTCCAACTATTAAAATGAACGTAAGTGAACTTTCATTACCCGCTGTTGGCTGGCAGTCGTTAATTATCAAAAGGGTCGTTAATCATTATTTTGTATTGGCCTCTTGGATCAAAAAGTTGATTTCCTTAGCTAAGTATGGTAACGTTCCATTATGTAATTTACAAATTGAGAATATGGGCTATTTAATCGACATTGAATATGCCAGAAGACTAAGTCAAAGCAATATAGTCTTATGGTTATCATCACGACCATTGCCAGATCATGGTGGATTTGAAATGGATAAAGCTCAAGATTTTGAAAATTTGGAATTTCCGACTATCAATAACCCAGAAATTTATGAAACAGCTTGTTTAGAAGTTGAGATTGGTACCCTAACTATCAATACAATTTTGACTAGTGCATTAATTAATGAAGCTGAAGGAACTGATTTGGCTGATGATTCAGTTCAATTTGATAATAATAACGGAGCTTCTACAATCGCTGAAGATTCATTTTCTACGCCCGCATTAAGTATCTTACGAGGAATGGTTAAAGATTGGTGGGATGATGCATTAAAAAATAATGATAATGCTGATTCTATGATGAATAACTTAGTAACATGGGTACAAAGATCGGATTCCCTTTTGTATGATTATTCATTACATTACCACGTCCATAACTTAACTACTAAGGCCCTATTACAGTTGATTGGTGAATTTAAGAGGATGAATGCTCAAGTCATCTTTGCTAATAGAAACAAGATGTTAATACAGACAACAAAAGTTTCTATCGAGAACTCGTATGCATATGGCCAATATATCCTTAAGGCTGCTAGATCAAAACCATTATTCAACTTTTTAGATTTGAGAATCGTAAAGTACTGGGATTTATTAGTTTGGATGGATGAATATAATTTCGGTGGTAGGTGCTGTACTGAGATAACTAATGACGAGGTGCAAAATTTGATACCTGTGAACAAATGGCAAATTACAAAATTTTTGCCCGTCATATTTCAAAATGAGTTTGAAGATTGGCTAATTATATTCTTAGATTCATTGACTAAGTTTAAAAACGACACGTTGATCCCTGGTACTCAAACGGGTACGCCAAGAGTTACCCAGATTGCACATATATTAAAGGGTCAGAAAAAGCTCGATTCAAACGAGACAGAAGAAGAGAGTATTTCAAATGGAGTAATGGAATTATTCAGAAAGCCATTACAAAAAAGGATAGAAAAATTGGCACGCCGTCAAAACGAATCAATTCTTAATCCAGAATTAAGACAAGAATACGAATTTCCTAAATTAGCTGGTTCTTATACAAGTATGAAGAATCCTTCTTTGGAATTAGTTAAGTTCTTGTGTGCTGTGTTTGGCTTATCGAGAAAGAGAAACATAGAAGTCAGACTTTTAAGAAGAGAACTATTATCAATTTTTGATATCAAGGAATTCAGTGATGAAGCAGCTTTTAAGAATCCAAGCAGCTCTTTGAAAATCCCGCATGTTATCTGCGACTATTGCAACTATATTAGAGATATTGATTTCTGTCGTGATGAACAAAAAAATATTTGGAATTGTAGTAATTGCAACAAAACGTACAATAGAGTGGCAATCGAAGAGGAAATCGTAGCCCAATATTACAAATTGCTAACGAAGTTCTATATTCAAGATCTTAAATGTTCTAAGTGTCATCAAATCAAGAGTGATAATATGAGTGAGTATTGTAAGTGCTCAGGTAAGTGGACTGAAACCTTAAAATATACAGAAGTAGATAAGAGACTCCAAATTTTTTCTAATGTTGGAGAATTTTTCAACTTACAGTTATTAAAAGGCATAATCGAAGAACTTGCGTTATAATTAGCATATGTATTTTAATTTCTATTACTTACAATATATACATCTATAACAGTCAGATAATGCGTAAAATGCTTTTTCGCGTTTTGAGATCAAGAGCATAAATTTTGCAAACTGATACAAAACAACGAAGCGTCAATAAGTTAAACAATGTCCTTATCAGAAGAAGCGTTAAACGATTTGAAAAAGACAGTAAAATGCAGAGAGACTCAAATTGAGCTACTCAATGCATTTATTTCTAAAGAGCTGGAAACGCTGGTTCTGTCTTTGATTGCTCATGGTTACAAGTCAATTGGTAAAACTTACACTATAGAAAGATATTTAGAAGCGTTGGGAATAAAGAAGACAATAGTCAAGTGTGACGAATGCGTTACGAAAAAGCTTCTACTTCAAAGATGTTTAAAGCGAATTCGAATGGATAGTGGCGTTGATATGTCGAAATATAATCAATTATTTAATTACAAAGGTGTCGAGGTGACCAATGTTGGAAAGCTATGTGAAAATTTTGCAAGTTTCGTTGTTGCATTGGAGCAATTTATAGAAGAAACAAACTACCAAGATCCACACGTTCTTTTATTGGATAGGTTTGACCAATGTATGGATCCTACAAATGAATTATTCCCTGGCTTTCTCAGATTACAAGAACAGTCTAAGATTAAGAACATAAGCATAATATTCGTCATATCTAGTGACGAACCTAAAGAAATTGTTACCAATCCAATACCTCATATTTATTTTAAACCATATACACAAGATCAAATAGTAGAAATTCTACAAAATAATCAGTTCTGCTTCTTTGAGAATGAAACGTATGATAACCATATAGGTGAAGATTTTTGGAAGCAATATTCTAAAATAATTGTTGATTCTTTTTTTGCATATACGGGTTCGAATATGAATTTACTAATAGACATATGCTTTAAATTATGGTGGAGCTTCATACGACCAGTGATTGAAGGAAGATACAAACCGAGTGAATTTCTCAGAATATATAGGGAGAATAAGGATCTCTTCGTTAACGATTCAATTATAAATAATTCATTGGTCTGTGAATATGGTACCCTTGACGAAGACAAATCTACAAATGCTACAAATGTTGATGATTTACCGAATCATTCCAAATTTATACTTATTGCATCTTATTTGGCATCGTTTAATGAACCCAAAAACGATTTGAATATATTTTCTAGAATCAAAGTTAAGGGCAAGAAGAGAAAATCAAATATAGCCAAGATTAGGAAAGGAGAATTATCCAAAGATGATATCAATACACAATTGCTTTCACCAAATTATTTTGATTTAGAAAGATTGCTAGCCATCATTTCTGTAATTTACAGAAATGAATCAGAATCCTTAAACAATTCAAATGAAGACTTCTTGAATTTTTATGATAATATGTCTGAAAGAGAGATAGCAAAAAAAGAGCAGGAATTTGCTAAGTTCACGTTAAATTCAAATATAGATTTAAACAGTCAAATAGCTACATTAGTATCATTAGGCTTGTTGACGAGAACAACGGCGCTAGATATTTTAAGTTCTAAGATAAGATGGAAATGTAATATTGGTTGGCCGATGGTAGAAGGTATAGCCAAAGAAATCAATTTTCCATTGCACAATTATTTATTTGATTAATCATGATATATTATTTAAATCGAAATTCACATTAATAATTGGTTTAAAATGCGTTTCACCAATCTTTCGTACTAGTACACTATTCTGGAAGTAATCTTTTGACCAGTGATACATTTCAAATTCAGAATATGGACCATGTATTTCATCCTGTCCATTCCATTTGAATTCCCAAATTTTATCGCCATAATCGTCTTTCTCGTTATTATCCTCATAATCTTCTCTTGTTCGTTTCTGTCCTCGCGATTCCTGGTTATAATCATTACCTGTCTCTTGTTTATATCTTCTCATCAATTCTTCTTTAGTTAATTCATAAGTATCAAGAACTCCCTTCTTATTGATCAATTTATCACACAAATCTGTAAGCCGAATAACCATTTTTTTTCTTTCTTGATCCATTTCGATATTCTTATAATCTTTTTTCTTAGATCTGGATTTCTTAGGAGGAGAAAATCTTGTTAATGCCTCCATGGGAGTTTCGACAGGTTCTAACAATTCAATTAGATCAGACAATATTCTGTTTATTGGTATGAATTCGTCCGTAGATTCTTTCATCCTCCGATCCTTGTCTAATCTATTTCTTTCCAATTGTGCCGTTTTGGCCCTTTCGATGTCGCTCTTTTTCAAATCCATCCACTCATCTTGTTTACCATCATCGTCATCGAAATTATGTCTAATGAAATTACCATTTTCATCGAAGTTTTCTTCATCTGCCTCTTCATGAAGATCGAATGCTTCTATTTTAGGTGCCAGTTTATTTTTAGCTAAGTGGGCTGCACTCTCAACATTGTCCATATGCTCTATATTTGTATAATAGTCAATCTTTGCTTTATTAATTTGGCCGTATTTATTATCTTCATTGTTCTTATTGTCATCTTCACTTTCATATATTGGATTGAGTTTGTAGTCTTCGTTTACAGGATCATCAAATTCGTCTTTTTCAAATGCTTCAGTATGTTGCAAGCTGTCTACAGTTTCTGTATCTTCTGTTCTACCCTCCTTATCATTCCCATCCTTATCTTCTTCATCACTCGCAAACATATCATCATTGGATTCCTCTTCTTTTTCGTTATCATTTATTCGCTTATCTTCTTGTTCGTCACGATAATCTTCAAGTGATGAATCTGAATCATAATTTAATCGTATATCATTACGATGTTTCAGCTTGTATCTTGCATTATTTCCAGGCAAATCATCGTTCAAGATATCATCTTCATACTGTTTTTCATTATTATTCATTGTGATATATATTTGACTTTCGACTAGCCTATATAAAAATATACTGAGATGGGTGCGATGAACTTCAATATTTAAATAAGATGAATGATGATAAGATATTTGAAATCAACAAAAGACGGAAGTTAAATAAAGCAGATATGACAGAAGTTGACTATGATATGGATAAAATATTAAACCTAGAAGAAGAATACTACCGACAAGGTTACGAGGAAGGACAAGACTTTTCAACAAAACAGCAGTACAATGAAGGTAAAGAATATGGATATCAAACAGGATTCCAAAGATTTTTAATAATAGGATACGTACAAGGCTTGGTCAATTATTGGCAAACCAATATAGAGAAATATGAAAAGGGCGTAGAGAATAAATCGTTAAGAAATCATATTTCACAATTAAATGAATTAGTTCAAAATGTCCCAACTACTAATGGGATGGAGGAGGTTAAGGAATTTGAGAAGAGAATAACAAAGAGTAGAAATAAATTGAGAGTGATAGCGAATATATGCAAAGAGCTGTGGAAAGTGAATAAATTGGATAGTTTAGTGAAGGAAATCGGAGGACAATTACAAGTGAGTGAAAATGTCGATGATATGTGGTAATAATATGTACATATATAATTAAAAATAAAAATCAAAATCTAAGGATTTAAATTTACTTTCTAGTTTATAATTTAAGATCCCACCCAATGGACAATCATTCACACCTATAATCAAGTCCTCTCCATAACCATATTCCATAGGAGCAAAATTTAAACCCGTACATTTACCAAGAAAATCTATTGATTGAACTCTCAGTAAATAATTATCACAATTTGATAAATCAGCCAATTGAATAATACCCACATGATCTAAGCTTTCCGCCCAGCTTAGATATTCACCATTACAACTAAATTTACAATTTCTAACTGGCGCACCTTGAGCTGATAAAGTCCCTAACGCACTATTCCAACAATGCACACTCTCCTTTGTATTTCTCCTATCCCAAATCTTGATGCTACTATCCTGGTTACCTGTAACTAGAATGTTTTCATTTTTAGGCGACCAATCACAACTAAAACCATAGTCCTTATGTCCTTTACATTCCTGACTATAATCAATTGAAGGCATTCTCTTGTCCAAGATAAACGAATTCACATGGTCACCAGTAATGATAAATTCATTGTGGTTATGGGGATTTATGCTAAGACAATTAATCGAGAATGGCAAATTATACAGCTCTGTAGACCCCGTAGTCATATCTATTATTCTCAATACCTTATCATTTGAAGAAATAATCAATTCTCTATCATCATGTATCGCTATATGGTTCGTAATCCCCTCAGAATCATTGGTCAAGTTGAACTCACCTATTAATTCTGGACGTTTTGGATTTGAAATATCTTGCAAAATATAACCACCTTCAAAAGTACCACACGCAAGTATTCCATTGGAACAGGTCATAGTAGATATTCTACTGTTTGAATTATATAATAGTGACCTGGATTCCATGAGACAGTCCAATTTCATACCATTTCTTTCCCTTGTTAATTGATCATCTGGCATCAAACGGTTAACTCGAAAAAATGTTTGGCATTCATCTGTACTGGTCGCATCTATAGGAAAATTATAATCATATAAATGACTCAGAGGATAGAAAATCCCATTAGATAGGTTTTCGCTGCAGCAGACTAAATTTCTTAACTGAAAATGTGTGATATGTAGTTTTAATTTGCAGAAGAATTTGTGGAATTGAAAAAAATTAGTTTTTGTTCCATATGTCTGGAAATTAAAATGCTAATACTGGTTAGTAAAATTCTAGGTTCAAGTTGATAATTAAAATCACATACATCTCTAATAGATTCTCTAGACTTTGAAATATTATAAAACCAATTCATTTCTCCAATTCTTGCTCTATCAATAGCAATTTTTTCTCGCAAGTCTGACGGCCATATTACTCCCTGGCAATCAGTCTCGTTTAGATTCTGGATAGAAAACGGTAAATTGTCCTCTCTTAATTTTAATGAGTTTAGAATGCTTAGTATTTCTGATTTTTTTAGGGCCGAATTTTCATCGTATAGAAGATTATACAAAAAAGACAACGATTCTGATTGACTCAACTCATATTCATGGCTCGATTCTTGAGGCGAGTTGGTTGCCGTAATAACAGTATTTCTTTCTTCGGCATCCGGAGCATCCTCCATGGAGATATATCTATTTGTCAGAGCATTATTGGAAAGTGTGTTCGTGGTATACGTGATTTGTTCTTCTGTTAATTGAATAGCCATAATGTGTTAGAACGGGACGTCAACTCCAATAGCTCCATACACTCACTGTTCTTCCAACAATAATAATAATATACGACTTGTAAACAAACTCTTATATCACTTCTTCTATCAATAATATAATATAATGTGTTTCCTCAGTATAAATACTACCAGGACATATAGTCTGAAAATGAACAATTGTAGCTAAAACATTATTACTCAAAATTAAGAAATAAAATGTCGTATAACATGCTGCATTTGTTGCAGTTAATGTCGTAAAATGCCTCCTTGATATCTCTCTTCTAAGGGAATCCACTGAATCAGAGAAGATAAATTCATCGTACGTCCACGTTGTAACATTACCTAACGATATGCATCAATGGTTTGATTCTACTCGTAGTATATAAGATTTCAGATTTGTTCGAAATCGTATCACTTCATCACGCTACATCAAGAATTTAATTAGCAGTTATATTTGTATATATATATATAGAGCTTACTTTCAATGGGGATCGATTTAAATAACCAAGAAGAATGGGAGACCTGTCCGTAGAAGTATGATTGATAGAGATATCTAAGTTATGTAATTTTACGGAGTATGACTAGATATTATGTTTGCAGATTAATAAGATGCAAAATGGAGCTGATTTTATTGATAAGTTGATTTAGTCGGCATAGGTCGGACATAAATATATTTTATCCTTTCTGGTACTTCTGTTATCATAAGGAAAAAATAATCAATTAATAAGATGTCTCATCAATACCATTTCGACGTTGCAATGTCATGCTCAGGATGTTCCTCTGCTATAAGCAGAGTATTAAACAAATTGGATGGTGATAATAAGATTGATGTTTCTTTAGAAAAGCAGACGGTTGATATCACCACAGATAAAGACTACGATACCATTTACAACACCATTGCAAAAACAGGCAAGAAAATTAATGATGGTAAGGTTATACAATAGAAAGTTTTAAGCTTACTATATAGGAATTAGATATATAAACTTGATTTATTAGGATTCAACATTTCTTATATCGAGAATTTCGTCAATGTAGTTATCTCTAAGGCCGCTTTTGATAAAAACACTTTCAATAATGGATATTAACTCATCCGTGGCGAGGTCGAAGAATTCTCCTTGGTAGAACATCTCCATTATGTCCTTCAAGTGATTATTAATCAAAAATAGGACATTGTTGAGCTTGTTGTAAGCTGCCACTGATGTATTGGATTCGTCTACCAACACTAAATTTGTATTGACGATATGCTGTATACTCTTGATAATACTAGTCAATTTAGTTGATTGGTATTCTGTTATTTCTTCCATTGATATAATGGAATTAATCATCCAATTTAAAATTATATTGATAACGTCCATAATAATTCTTTTGTAGTTCCGTCTATTACTTGATTTCAAGTTAGATTTATTCATTCTGTTAAACCAATTATCGATAAGTTTCAATTTACTCTCATTTTCGTTGTCTAGTTTAAAATTATCAAAGTTGGTTGAATCCGAAATAAAATCATCATGCTTCAAATTAATTGAAAGTAGAATCAATACGACTTCATTAGAGAAGGATTGGATGCTTTGCTTGAGATTGATATCCAAAAACTTCGTTAACTGTTCATTCTTAAAAAAGCTGTTTAATGTTTGTAAATCATTATGCAATAAGAATGATTCATTTAATGGTGGATATGATATAATAGAAAAAGATTCAATAGTGGATATGAGGGGCTGGATATCACTGTTTCCAGTTTCTGTCTGATATTCCAGTAATATTTCCCTTAATTTTGAAGGCATTTGGGAGACTTTATGCATTTCCTTATTCCCCTTATTTTTATTTAAATTCATTTCTGCGTCCTCCCATCCATCATCATCCCAACCGTCGTTATTCCAATCACCTTCAGGTTGCGTTTGATGATCTGATTGAGAATCAATATCCGGTATTTCCTCATCATCCCATCCATCATTATCCCATTCATTCCATTCGTCCTTATTTTCGCCTGCAATAGTGTTGTTCTTGTCTTGGTTACCTTCCTTCTTAGTTACGTGATTTTCTTCCAATGCGTAATATTCCTCATGCAATTCTTTTACTAACTGATTGAAATCACTATTATAAACATTCCTGAGTCTATTAACGTATTTATCCACAACCCAATCAAGGTATAAGCCATTTAATTTATTATTTATATCAGCTCCTGATGTTAAAGACCTTTCAGCTGACAAACCCCAATGCGATTCTTTTGACAACTTAATCACACTAAATAAGCTTTGGATTAAATCATTATTCATAGGATTGATAAAATTATTTATATTCTCTGATACCTTATTAGTCAAGTTATTTGAAATCTTCGACAGGTAGAAATTCTTGAATGGTTGAATATTGAATTGATTTATGAAACTCATAAACTCAGTTATCGATTCACAAAATTCTTTAAAGCCAGCCTTCCTATTCAAGACTTTTAAAACAAATGTGTTATTTTGATGTTCTAGCTCTATTATTTTGTCGTGATTAACTAATTGATCCAATATTTTGTCCCACTGCAATTGTAGTTTACGATGCAAAGATTTAATGGTAAACAACGGGTCAACAATTTCAAACAGATTGAAGATTTGAATAAATTCTTCGTAAGACATGTCAATATCATTAGTTGATACATTGCTAACGAATGAATCATTGCTAGGAAAATAGATGCAGAAATGAGATTCTAATTGTTTTCCAGTATTGGCAATTAAATCTTGGTATGATTTATTCAAGCTATCAAGAATGATTAAAGATTCATCGAATTGGGATATCTTTCGTTTCAATTTTGTCAAATTGTTAACTACAGACTGTAATTCATATTTATCACATCTGTAGTTAGTTTCGTCGACAGGATTCAAGGATATTGTAATCTCTTGGATTAATCCTTTAATAATCCATAGACTATTCAATTGAATTAAAGCATCATCGCTTACATTAAGCTTGTCATTTAATTGAGATATGTTTAATTTATTAAGATCATCCTTGTCAGTTGTCTCCACCGGTAATTTCAAATTTTCATCATTTATTATGTCAATAGCTGCAGTATACTTCACCGATTCAAATCCATTATCGATTGCTCGAAGATCTGATTCATATTGTAATACTAGGTTCGTTATCGACATTTATAATTCTAGAATGTTTACTTCGACTAGAGCAATCTGATTTCTGGATTCTATCGATGATTTTATTTTCAAATAACGCACAGTTCATTTATGAGCCTAAATGCGCTACTATATAAAAGTAAATAATTTGATCTAAACAAATTAAAAATGTATTAAATATGCATAAGGTTAAATAAAAAGCTGGGGGTAACGTTCCAAATTATATTAAATC